AATGAAGGTCATTTGACTGCGGATATCTGAGTGTGAAATCAGTCGACAACCTGGTCTGCCAGTTGTATATTAGTGCACCGACAAATTTCTGACAGTGTTCCAGGGCTTGGTGGGTTTTCGCCTAGCAAGCGTTCACCCTACAAAAAGCCACAAATGTCCGTATAACAACACTGCGAGGTGGCGGATGTGACTAGCCACTGAATAAAGTCACTGCCCAGAACAACCTACTGGCAAGTCGACCAGAATCATTATTCAATATTGCCCTGACACTTTCAATAAAAAGTTACACCATGCCTCTATGTATCGTCTTTAGTACCCATGTAGTGCCCTGACTGTTTACACTACGCACGCTAGAATTCAACATTTTTTCATTCATTGAACACTCTATCCCTCATGACTACTCACACAATTTCCGCAGCCTGTACAATCTTCGACTTACTGCCGACTACACTCATAGTAACGTTTTTGTTGCGAAGCAATATTGCATGTAAGTATTGATCATGCCTTGCTTGGTGTGTCTCGACAAATTAGAAAATAAACTATTTATTTATTTATGTGGCCTAAAGGTTTTACGAAGTCTATGTCCACAGTATGCGAGATTTAGAGATAAGCTCCAGCTCACTAATGTGTAGTATGTTGATGAGCAACTAGTCCGAATATGTTGTGTACACAGTGCAGGTCCGGTGAGTGAAGTATGAGGAAAAGCTGAAAAATATTTAGGAATAGTGGCCTGTCACTAATCAAATATGTAGGCGCGTTCGTACGGGAGAAGATATATGCACAGAATTTGTAAAGGTGGTATCCGTCAACTGGCAAATGTGTGTAAAGGGCGGTGACTTTATTGAGTGGCGAGTCACATCCGCCCCGTCGCCGTGTTGTTAACCAGACAGTTATGGCTTTTGTAGGGAAAGCCCTTGCTAGACGAAGACCCGTCACGTCCTGGAACACTGCCGACTGGTGATTGGATATTGGAAAGATGGCAGCTGACCGATTACCCTCGCGGATATTCGCAGTCAAGTTTCGCCAAGTTGTTTCCCCTGGTTGTGTAGTCTCCTTCGGTGTCGGCCGCAAGTCGTTAGAGTTGTTGAAGTCGGACGGCTCAGGTGACTTGTATTCATTTGATTTGTTTTCCGGGTTCCATCAGTGTGTCAGGATTGCGAGGTGCGGGTAAGTTCTTTGTTCCGTATTGATTCCGTGTCCATGGGAGAGTCGCAGGTATGTCCTCAGAGGTGCTCCGTGTGGGTGTTGTTATCATTAAGAACAAGGGAGGGAAGTAAAACGGACCGAGCAGTCTGCCAAGAAACTTGAACAGGGCTATTTTAATATTTAACTATAAGATTTATGGCAACGTTGTGCTGGTTGAAGTCAATGGAATTATGGAATATGTTAAACATCATATCCGTGGTTTTGCGTGCAAGCACGAAACCCGGTATTTGTCGAATGTGAGAGAAAAATGCTGCATGAAGTGGCCTAGCATAAGCAAAAGTTGTCCCGTGTGGAAACGGGAGCATCAGGCGTCGTTAACCAGTAAATGAGTTGAGGGAAGAAAAAATATTGTGTGGTGTAATATGTGCTGAAGATATAGGTTGAGCGATCGGTTGACAGTGCTAGAGCTTATCGTTTGAACATATAGGAGAGCCAGTTGTTTTGCTACGCAGGGTTTAAGATCCATGAAACTAATAACGTAAAATTTTCAGTATTCGGATGCTAGAGAAACAGCTGAGTGAACGGTTGAGACGGAGTGGAAAAGTTGTGACAAGAATGGGCTTTATATCCTAGAGCTGTAGCGAGAATACGGATGCAAAGCCAGCCCTAATGGGACATGGAATAGCGGGAAACGATAGGGAGTTCTACAGTGCGGCGAACAAGACAAATAAACGACAGCAAAGTGCGACACTGGGCGTCGGGTTAATTATGAAGAAGAAGCGGCGCACTGCTACGCCTTCAACCATGACAACAGGAGCGAGGGTATGAATATTACGGTTTTAGCGAGAAACTGGTTGTAGAGCCAGATCTGAAAAGCATCAGGAATATCAGTATTGTGAGTAGCAGCCCCAAAATATGCTAGGGAGGCCACTCTAAGGTGGACGTGCACGGTGGAACGTTGAAGTCAAATAGGCTTCTAGTCATAACTCACAGCTTTTCTTAATTACCATACAGGAGCGGTACACTTTGTTAGGCTCTGCATAGGCTGATAGGTGTACACTGTTGAATACAAAAGAGAGAACACACTAGGAATACTTGCAACGGCTGTAGAGAGAAAGCAACAGTGGTGCCGGCTCCGGAAGTGAGCAAGAGTAAGGGAATAATACAGACAGCACCGTCAAGTGCTAAATATTTCAACTGCAGCTTTGCGACATTGACCAGAAAAATTGCCGAACAAGTATACAGTAGAGTATGATTAAACAGAGGAGTGGATAAGAACCGAAAAGGTTCAAGTGCTCAGAACCTAGTGCGGGTGGAATAAGAAAGACAACAGTCCAATAGACGGGGATGTGGACATTACAAAGAGTATGGCAGCCGATGTGCAAAAGAAGAGTGGCCTTGGGTTAAGACCAATAGGCACTTGAGCCTCAAAGTCCGGACTGGTCCAAAAGGTTTAAGAATGAGAAGTACCGTGGCAAAGAGAATCTATCGAGGCAATGGAAGTTGCGCTGACGTTAGTGGTACCTAAGACACAACGTCCGATGACCACCAGAAAATCCACAAGACGGAACCTTAGCCCACAGCCTAGTTTTGAAGTCTTTCATAGTTTCTTTCAACGTCAGCCTAGCTGCCAGCGAAAGGTCCGGCTGAACGCTGACCCCACTACCCTTAGGTTTGACTGTAAACCATAATAATGATTTGTATTCCTCCGGGGTAGAAAGGATCATACGAAGTAGTCGGGTTGCTACTTTGGCCTACCGATGGGGACGCCCAGAAATCTGGCCAGATTGTTGACAGTGACACCAGGAACCCAGTTGGATGCAGCTAGGTGAGCACTGTTTGAGCCACTTGATGTCATCCAAGCTGCGTTTCCTTAGGAGAGCAGCCGCAGATTAGGTAGCGTTACGGAATATAAGGTAACGATCCGTGAAGCAGTCGGCACAATGGGGAGTGTTTACCAAAGTGCCTTGGATTCGGCACTTATACCAGCTGTTTTTACCGCTGGCTGTGGGAGTGTCCCTTTCCTTCCGAACGAGATCGAAGCAACAGTTGCTTAGGTTTACCGCTCTATTGCCGGAGTCCTCCCACTTCCTGGGTCTTCAAGCCAAACCGGAGTTTTACGGGCAGAACTAGTCCGTTTCTAATTTTGGCGCAATCGCACAGGCGCCGTTGACCTTGTGTCGTATTGAACATTTATCTACACTTCGTCAGAACGGGCTGGTTTAGTGGCAGCCAACACAGTCAGCATCTTTGTAATGTTCTCCTGTGCAAAACTGTCAGCTGACTTCATGACTGTCCAAGAAGGCGTATTTCTTGAGGCCGTGGCAACTAATTCTCTAGGTTTGGTAGGAGGCTTCAAGAATTTCTGCATCCTACAGTTCTTCGAGTTGACCGACTCATGTAGAAAGACAGCAGTACTACCTGGCAGCAATAATCAAGGATATTAAAACAAATACATTTTCGCGTCGAACGAGGCAGTAGAGGCATGTATGGCTATCGTGTGCCAAACACCTTCCATTCTTAAAACCAGCGCAGGAAGCATAGCACCGGTGAGAGCCGGGCGCGCCAATCTCTGAGTGCGGCATTTAGCACAGCTAAAAAGCAAGAGAATACGGGATGATAGTATTTTGTACCGGTCTTCTTGTAGGCTGGTACGGCTTTCGTGATGCCAGCTGCAGCATACATCTGTCATTGGCTCTGCACAGTTAGACAATGGAACAATGGTTAATTACGGATAAAAAAGATAGCTTAACAAGTCCCATTGGATGGAACTTATTGCGAAAATTAATTCCGGTATAACGTGAAAAGCGTTGTTGTGGACTCACCATAGACTTATGTGGAATAGCGATGTTTGCGCATTAAACGTATTAATCCATAAATCCATTGGTTTAGCTTTTGGCAACCTGCCTTAGATTCTTCAACGAAGGACGCCATGGTCCATCAACCTAGGTATTTGGCGAGACAGCCAAGTTTATTTGAAAAACAGCAGAATCATAACTCAAATACAATAGTAAAACGACCACAATAAAAAAGCAAAAACAGGGTGCGGAACTTGTATAAACTTGGGAACAATCAAAAAGATGGACAGTAACCGCCAAAGACGCATTGCTTATTATCATTTTAATCAATCGAAGATGTCTTGGATCAGAAAAAATTTGACACCAGTCAAATTTCCTTTCATGCGTTCATTCAAACATTGTTTTCTAGGGTATTTCAGCTAAAAAGCTCGATTAGTTTGGCACGCCAACAAATCGACTTACCGCTTAGTACTCAAAGGACTTCGGCCTTCACGTATTAGAATAATCGGTTGATTACACCGTTAAACCTATAACTCGTTGGAACTTAACGCACTTATTGCTTCTGTACTTATGTTGCCAATTTCGCGTGACGGGTGCGGCTGGGATTAACCATGCAGGTAGCATGGGTATTAACAGTTTGCTCGATTTGTGATGCGCGTGCTGTTCTGACTCTGCTAGGTACGTTATCACGGACGAATACTACCCCAGAACTACGACGTGGCATTGAAGAAACAGCCACAGGAATTTCTCCTAATTTCCAGTCCCACTAGAACATGAACTTGAGCTTAAAATCCTACCTTATGAACTTAAGCGTAATTTAATAAGTTTGCAAACTACCTGCATGTCTATCACGTATTTCGAGGAAATTGGTTATTAGTACCAGCTGCCCAGCTTTTTATAACCATGTTTTGCACATTGATTCAGCTATAATTTGCGGTAAGCTTGCAAAACGGCTTTAAGGATTCGCAACTATCTTTCAACCATCCATAGCATTTAAGCAAACAAATAAACATCAATTATTACCTTATACATATCCCCTCGTTACTAAGACAGATGCAGCTTGTAATTTGTTTTAAACTACTCAGCAGTTTACAACCGACCTTTCTCGCGTAATGACGGCGTCATCGACTGACTCAGCGCCTGCACACAAGCAACGCTTGAAGCGTCCGGGGCGTTTGTACGTGAAGGCAGTGTTTACAGGATATAGACGTGGATTGCGGAATCAACACGAAAACACCGCTTTGCTAAAAATTGATGGCCTAGAGCATCGTAAAGATGTCGACTTTTACTTGGGTAAACGATGCGCCTATGTTTACAAAGCGCTAAAGTGAGTTGGCTATGTATATGATGTTGAGTTTTAGAAAAAAATCCTTTCCACGGAGGAAACGTCCAACGAAGATCCGCGTCATCTGGGGTAAAGTAACTCGTCCTCACGGTAACAGTGGAGCGGTGAGAGCTCGATTCAAGCGTAATTTACCTGCATCCGCAATGGGTCGGCGTATCCGTGTCATGTTGTATCCGTCGCGCGTTTAAGTAAACTTGGCTTTGGAACAATACAATTTCCACGGGCTCATTTGTTCTGCTTGGATTCATGCTTGGGTCCTTCAGTTCAGCAGCCGTGCTGCTGGCTTGTTGCTGACAGGACGGTATTTATGTTTCGCCGCAACGTAGCCGCATGAGGTTAAGCGTAAAATGCCACAGCACGCAGACGCGAGATGCAGTGAGTCAACCCCCGGACGCTGAGATCACAAAACACCTGTCTGAATACTGTACTAATGCGCTTGGTAGCTAGTGCCCTTACACATTGATGAGTACATTGGTTTTGCCGCTATTGCTAGGGCGTGTACCCGCTACACGATGACTCTCGTGACCCGGTAGCCAAAGGGGTAGTAGTGTTGGCTGCTATTCCAATGGTCCTGGGTTCAAATCCTGCTGTCTCCACCTGATGAGATGAAAAATTACATCGAAACGCGTCGTGGTTGTGCAGTGTTTTCGGGTGGGCAATACCAATTTCCATCTACTTTGAATACGGTCCCAGCGATCGCAGTGACTACGGTTCATTTCAATGTGAATCACAGTCTATTAAATTGAGGTTGCGTGTCGCAATCCAATCACACAACATGTAATCCAAACTTGACCCGACCTCGACCGCCTCTCCATGTGGTCCGCCGAAGTAAGTTTGCCTATCAATTCAGCAAAATCGCTACTTCTGTGCCTCGGTAAAGTTGGAGCGGGCCGATCGTACACTCTCGACGGCCAAGTTCTACACCCGACGCATTGCGTCAGAGACCTTGGCGTTATACAACGTTACGACATGAAGTCACTGGACAACACGGACAATATGTATCGCACAGCATTGCGTTCGCTGTGGGCGCTGAAACGTAGCTTCTGCACCTGGTCGAAAGAGATTGCCACTCGTCTCTTCACATCCATTGTACGACCGGTGCTAGAATACGGCTCACCCGCCTACTGTCCGTTGACGAAAGGCGAGATACACAAGCTCGAAAGAGTACAACACATAGCCACACGGCTCATTCCCGGTCTTCAGGGTGTGCCGTATGAAGAAAGATGCAGACAATTGGGTCTGTATACTCTAGCCTACCGCCGCGTGCGAGTGGACCTCATCATGACCCATCGGGTATTGCATCTGGGTGCTTATCCGATGCTGAGGTCCACTGCTCCATGTCCGTGCGTCAAGCAGCACACGAGGTCACCAGTACAAACTGGTAGTCCCTGACCTCAAGTGGGTAGCTCATCCCTTGTGTCTTGAGCGGCGAGTGGTGAACATGTGGAACCGTTTGCCCTCGCGGATAGTAGAAGCGAACTCGGTGTCGGAATTCAAACGATTCCTGGACGCGCACTTTGTGGATGCCAGATTCGACGAAGCCTTCACAGGAAACTGACGAAGGAATCGTTCAATGATTATAACCCATGGAGCCCGTTAATCCACCAACTGCAGCTTCCGAAACGATGCCCATCCGTAATAGGCGGCGGAGCTGGTGAAGGACTCCATGTGGTTCATCCAAGAATATATGGTAAGTACATGGAGATTTTTTCTATGCTTGTAAATATTTTATTTTTTTCACCTGGGCTAGCTCACTACTACAGGTAACACTGTGTCAGTGGGACATGTCCTACATTGAGATATAGCTACATAGATGTTCAACATCTTTCTCGCTATCATGACAGTATCAGTATCAGTATCTCGTGAACTATAGTCTTTTGCGGGATACTAAACGCATTTCATGATGGTATCTCCGCACTCGCACGAAATAATCTTCACCGATGTCCTAACGTGTAGTTAGCATGATGAAGTTCTCGCAAATGGTGTTTGGTTATTTTCTTACCCCAGGTAATGTCGCTGTTGCCATTCCCGACAGCGAACCACGTGTTTTCGTTCTGACAACAGTTGATCTTTTCCGTTCTCTTGGGATTCAGACGAACTTTGAGGTGCGCAGACTACACGGTATCTTCTGCTTGTCTATCGGTCATCTTGGTGTGCAGGTGTCTACATTATGGTAATGTTGTCACTACCCGTTCAAACGCAGTTCAGTTTTCTTTGCCACGACTGGTTTCATATCACTTGTGGTAATTCAGCAACCTTTTATGAGTGTCAGCTGTATACAGCATTCTCTGTTGGTATCTTTTATGACTGTCTTACTTTAGTCAACACCCAGCGTGCTCAGCCTGGTTTATCTGCTTTTACTTCCCGATCCGATGGTGGTCACTCCGATCGCCAACCGACTGTTTTCCCAAATTCGCCTTAACCTTTTCTTTCTTTGTACCTTTCTGATTTTTTCACGCCAGTTTCTAAACACATTCCTGTCCCACTCTCAGTCTCGAACGTCTAGTGACTAGCCTAGTCAGCCCCCGCCCAAAACGTTTGCGACTGTCGTCAAGGAGAACATGGCGGCTGCTACCGCAAGCCGGATTCCTGTTGTGCCTA